CCTCCGCAGCCTGCTGCTGTGGACTCTGGAGCTCAGAATGCTGGTGCTCAGCCTGGGGGTTCTGAGCCAGAGGGTGAGGGTTCTTGGGGTGCTGGTTATGGGGGTGCTACGACTGGGGGTGCTGGTTCTTGGGGTGCTGCGACTTGGGGTGCTGACTCTGGGGGTGCAGCGAGTCCTAGTGGCGGTGGAGCTGTGGGTAACCCTGTTGGAGGTCCTGGAGCTGGACAGCCACCGCAACCTGACCTACTTGAGACGCTCTCGCCGCAGGCGATTCGTGCGTAGATCGTTCGGCGAGGCATTCCTGGTGGTGGAGGGTACGGTCCTGCTGGTGCTGGAGTTGCTAGTCCTGGAGGTACTGCTGGTGCTGGAGGTACTGGAGGTACTGCTGGTGCTAGAGGTGCTGCTAGTGCTGGAGGTACTGGAGGTGCTGGAGCTGCTGGTCTTGGAGGTGCTCGTACTGGAGGTGCTGGAGCTGCCGGAGCTGGTGGTGCTGCTCGAGCTGGAGGTCCTACTGGAGCTGCTGGCAGTGGAGGTATTGGAGGTGCTGCTGGTGCTAGTGCTGCCGGAGCACGTGGTACTGCTGGTGCTGGAGGTGCTGGAGGTGCTACTGGAGCTGCTGGTACTGGAGGTGCTGGAGGTACTACTGGTGCTAGAGGTCCTCGCGCTGCTGGAGCTAGTGGAGTTGCTCGTGCTGGAGGTGCTGAGGGTGCTGCTGGAGCTGCTGGTGCTGGAGGTGCTAGTGCTGCTGGTGCTGGAGGAGCTGGAGCTGCTGGTACTGCCCTGCGCAGACCGTTTTTCTACCCGCAACTGCAGTCGACCCTGCCACCTCCTAACTCGGTCCTTCGTCAGGTTCTTAGTCTCCCGTCTTCCATTGGCCTCCCTCTACCCCTCCTGTGTCCACCGACAGACCAGTCTCAGCCACAGCTACTGCCTGGCTCCCCACTGCCTGCGCTTGCTCCTCGCACTGAGGTGACTGAGTCCCTGACCGAGCGTCGTGAGCCTGAGACTCGTGCTTCCACACCTGTTCGTGCTCGTCGTGTCGCTCATCCTCGTCCTCCTCCTGTCCCAGGCACTCACGGTATGGCACTTCGTCCTTCCTCTGTTCCACAGCGTGTTGTCCTGCCTGAGCCTCCCGCATCCTCTCTTCCGCACGTTCTTAACCCTGAGTCTAACCTTGCTCGTGCTACCAGTCCTACTGTCACTCGTCTCCTCGCTACTCTCGTCACTGATCCTGATCTTGAGTCTACTGCAGCGTTTGCCCTAGTCACTGAGCTAGTCGACTTTGCAGCTAGGAGTCGTCTCGACTACGTCGCGACTCTTGTCACTGAGTTTGAGTCTGTCTTTCCTCCGTCCGTTGGGGGTGAGCTTGCCCTTGGCAGTGACGTACTTGAGGACAGAAAGTTTGAGCTTGAGTGTCTTGCGGCCACTTTGCCTCGTTTCGCATCCATGCTGCTTTGCCTTGAGGGAGACCCGGATGCACTTGACATCCCTACCCCGCGCTCTTACGCTGAGGCGATCGCGGGTGAGTACTCCTCTTAGTGACAGACAGCCATGGACGCAGAGATGGCTTCCTGGAAGTCCACAGGCACCTACGTCGACGAGGTTCCTCCTCCTGGGGCGAACATAGTCGATGGTATGTGGATTTTCAGAGTGAAGCGGCCGCCGGGTTCTCCGCCTGCCTTCAAGGCGCGTTACGTTGCTCGAGGCTTCAGTCAGCGACAGAGGGTCGACTTCTTCCAGACCTTCTCCCCCACCCCGAAGATGACTACTCTTCGGGAGCTGCTGCACGTTGCAGCACAGCGTGACTACAAGCTGCACTCCCTCGACTTCTTCCAGCTTTCTTGCAGGGCAGCCTTCACGAGGAGATATGGCTGCGCCACCCACCTGGCTTCACTGGGTCGTTTCCTGCGGGTACCCAGTGGGAGCCTCCGGCGGCCAGTCTACGGTCTCCGCCAGGCGCCCCGAGAGTGGCACGACACACTGAGGACAACACTTGCGGCTCTTGGGTTTGCTCTTTCCTCTGCTGACCCGTCGCTGTTTCTACGCACCGACACTACCCTGCTGCTGTTCTACGTTCTTCTGTACGTCGACGACTTGGTTTTTGCTACTGCTGACACTGAGGCGCTGGCCCTAGTGAAGGCGGAGCTGCAGGAGAGACACACCTGCACTGACTTGGGTGAGCTGCGTAGCTATCTTGGCTTGCAGATCACCCGGGACAGAGCACGACGCACCATCACCCTGACTCAGTCACACATGGTGCACCAGGTCCTTCAACGCTTCGGCTTCCAGTTCTCCTCGCCACAGCCCACTCCTCTGTCTACCGGCCACTCGCTCTCAGCTCCACCTTCGGACGAGTCCGTAGAGCCGAGTGGTCTGTACCCAGAGCTTGTGGGTTGCCTCATGTACCTGATGACGTGCATACGACCTGACCTCGCGTACCCTCTCAGCCTCCTGGCTCGCTACGTGGCTCCCGGTAGACACCAAAAATTGCACTGGGATGCCGCGAAGAGGGTACTGCGTTACTGGTGCAGTACATCGGGCATGGGGCTAGTGCTTGGAGGACAGGGTTCAGTGGTACTCACCGGACACTCCGACGCTTCTTGGGCCGACGACCAGGCGACTCAGCGTTCGTCACAGGGTTACACCTTCAGTCTTGGCTCTGGTTCTGTCTCGTGGAGGTCCACTCGTTCTTCTTCTGTGCTTAGTTCCAGCTGTGAGGCCGAGATCTACGCTAGGGCCATGGCTGCATAGGAGCTCCGCTGGCTGACCTACCTGCTGACCGACTTGGGGGAGCGGCCTCGTTCTCCTCCAGTTATGTACGTCGACAACAAGGCAATGCTTGCCTTGTGTCACGAGCAGAGACTGGAGCACACAACGAAGCACATTGCTCTTCACTACTTGCTTGCGCGTGAGCTGCAGCAGCGTCGTCAGCTCCGCCTTTCCTACGTGGCCTCGCGGGCCAACACTGCTGATGTGTTCACCAAGGCCCTTGGGTCTGGTGATCATCAGCGTTTCTGCACTGCTCTCGGGCTTGTGCCCACTCTACCTCACCTGCTGGTTGCTTGACTTGCTCTTGTTGTACACTGATATATATCTTTATACCTGCTTGTTTACTCTTGCTAGGTTGTGATCAATGTACTGCCTTGCTATTATAACTCTGCATGTGAACTGGCCTTGTGGCCGCTTGCTTGTGCTCGGATTGTGTGGTGTCCTTGAGATCCACCCTGAGCTTTGCTTTGCTCTGTTGTCTTGCTTGACTGGTCTTGTGACCGTCTTGTTGTCCCCTACTTAGCCTATGGGGGTGTGTCAAAATACAATTCTACTTGTAAGCTATAGTGGGTTATTCCGTATGGGGTACAACCCCAATTAGGGTAGCCTATACAAACCTGTACTGCCCTGTTTTTCTACCTTTTCCTGCACAGTTCTCTTGATAAAGTGGCCCGAGGTGGTGGACATCTGGCGGAAGCAAAAAAAGAGAAGACTCGCAAAAACACCTGCCCCACACAAGTCGTGCTCTGGAAAAGGAAAGGAAAGAGAGGAGTTGTCTGATGGTAGCGAGGATGAGCGTACATACATGTGACTGAATGGCTATATAAATAAAATGTTGTTTCCCGATTTCTAAAACGATTAGTACCGTAATATGTATTTGCGATAAGGGTACACACAAAAACAACACTGATGCTTTGGGGTAAAATTTTTGAAACTCAATGTTACACTTATGTATCAGTGTAACGAAAATTTACACACTGATCATAAGGGTTTTGAAAAAAGCTGCACTGCTAATCGTGAGTAGCCAAAAACCAAACATAGGCCGTGCCGCCAGGGTAACCAAAATCGCTATCAGTGTATACCGAAACTTAGCCTTTTTGCTCTAGGGTAAAAAGTTTGATACCCTGTTTGGGGAAGGGTAACTGGGAAAAGCGGCCACCCATCAGGGCAAACAAGGTATTTTACCCTGATAATTTGGGCCCTGCCAAGTACGCAATCTCTAGCGCGCCGAAATAGAAGCTGCGATCGGCTCGAAGCGCGCCCGAAGCCCTGCGCACCACGCATCCCACGTGCTGTACTGGGCGGTTTCGCAGAACGAACTCCAGGTGACAACGACCGGTGGACTCTCCCGCTTGCGACGGTTGTCCAGCTCTTTTACAAGTCATTTTACAACAATAATACAGGCCATTGTAACGAGATGGAACAAAGCAAAAGGGATATGGAAGGGAGAGGAATGGGGTTAAGAGCTGAAAATGACAAGGCACAGGGAGGGGGATTGGAGGTTGAGGCTTCTCCAGATAAATGCAGGTTAAGAGGGAGGACGCACGGTACCGCGTATAAGAACGTAGACAAGAGAGTTGCAAAGGGTGGAATAATCTGCTGCTTAGGAAGGAACGATTTTCCTATTCAGTATGTGTAGGAACGATCTGATTCCAGTGTCTGTCTTCCTGCCTGCCCCTCACTGTCAGTAGTTTGTCTTTAAGGGAGCCAGGCACGGAGCCTCTCTTGCACAACCACTCCATCACCCTTTGTCACTGTCAGAGATAACACGGAATTTCCCACCAGAGCAGGATTGGCCGCTGCAAACAGGTTCTTAGCAGCTTCTAGAGCAGCCTTTTCCGGGCTCACGGCAGCATTAGAGCTCACGGCAGTGGGGGGGAAGTCGTAGCTCATGTCGCAGTACCAAATCCCGGGAAGGGGCTGCATAAAGTCGCAGGCTTGCAGTTGAAGGGTTATTTTGCCGCTTTCCAGGAGAACGGTGAGGGAAGACGAGGCGGAAAAGACCCCTGTGCTGTGAAAGAGAAAGCGTGTACGGATCCTGGCCAGATCATTGACGCTTTTGAAAACCATAGAATGGAATGAGAGCCGGGGGAGGAGAGGGGAGAGGGGGGGTTGGGGGGAAGGGGGGGAAGGGGAAAGGGGGAAGAGGGTGTTGAAAAGCAACAATGGTGGGAACACGTAAAGTCCTGCACTCAAAATATCCCCTTTGACTGCAGTTAGAAGGGACTGACCTTTTGATGGGCAGAATAGATGCAACACCCTTGAGATCCTTAGTTTTTATTTGCGCCTGGAGATTTCCACTGACGTAAGTGCTGGTACTGCTGGGAATCCACTGAAATGCATCGTCTGCACAAAACGATCGATTGGAGAAAGTCAAGATCTGCGTCTCATGTGATCTATGGTTACAGCAAACCTTTTTCTTACAAAAAACAAAAGCAAACCCTATGAAAAAAGGGTGACCACTGCAAACAAAACGTACTGAATCTCACACTGTCCTCTGCCACTTCCACCTGTGAAGTCTGCACCGTTGCTGCCTGCCTCTGCTCGTTCCAATATGTCAGAGCCAAACCGTACGAAGCGAACTGAGGCCCCACGCCCGCGCTGGCGCCGAGCCTAAGGCTGTCGGCCTGAGTCAATGTAGTCATGCCGGCGCAGTCCCAAACGGTCCGCGCGATTTGGGTGCACTTCATGTTGGTTCCAAAAGTGCCGAGCGTGAGGTTCGGGTCCGCAAGCAGACTGATCTGCCTCGGCGGCTCAACCAAGCCAGCGGCGGCCAGGCGAAAATACATCGGCTCGATTGTGGGACTGCGAGGGGGAAGAGCAGCGAGATCACAAGGCGAGTTTGAGCGCGGTGAGAGGTGGTACGCGGTGGTGGATGGATGAGCAAAAGGCGTTTGCTGAGAAAAGGCGGGAACAAGCAGCTGGGAGACCCAGCCGTGCGGAACCTCACAGCTAGAACTGGCATGAGAGGGAACACCCAGGCTTTCGAGGCCAATAGGGGTTTGCTGTATCCACGAGAATACTGGAATCATGGAATGGATGAGAGAGAGTGCGCCGGGGGCTTGCTCTAACGGGGTGTGGAGAAAAAGGTTCGCTCCAACGCCCGCCCATTCTGCACTGAAACGCAGAGGCATAAGGGCCGTCCTTTCAATGTGCCCACTTGCACAGAGCATACCCCATCCTCACATGATATCATGTAGGCTTGCAAAAATGCTTTCGCCCCAAACCCTAAGCAAATAGTAAGGATCCTTTACCACTGACCCTGACCTGGGCTCTGATACTTACTCAGTGGGGACGTTGATGTTGAACGTCCAAGAGACGTTCTCATCCGACTTGTCCCCCCTGTAATATTCTGCAGTCGGGAAGAATCGGTGGGAAATGGAGAAACGGAGAGGAGGCACGATCAGGACAACATCACAGGGGGGTCCAACATACCGGCAAGGCGAACACTTAGTCCGACTTGTCCCCCCTGTAATATTCTGGCTCGTTTGGCCTGAAGTGTTCGCCTTGAGCGCTGAGCACACTGGCTCGGGGCCTAGAAGTGACCGAAGCCACGTGTGGTTTAGGGCCATACATACCGTACACATGGTTCAGAAGCAACGTTGGTTCAGTGCTTCAGACGATTGGTTGCAGATTGCGAACAGAAAGGAACATTTGGTACGCAGTGAGGAGGGGACACCGATTCATGGTTGGCAGAGACAGCAGAGAGAGGCGGAAACAGCCTTAACGAATGTGAGGCGGGAGTTGGGGTCAAGTCATTTGAAGCATAGCAAACAGGAGATGCAGAGCAAAGCCGTGAAGGGAAAGCAGAGAGTACTGACTTGGCAGGACTTGGAGGCGGCGAGCGGACGCGAGGCCTGCATGGGCGGAGAAGCAGAGGAGAGGAGGCGATTTGAGGAGTATGGAAAGATAAGATGTCCATTGAAGAAGATTTGCATGCGGAGAAACTCGAAACGAGAGGTTTGAGGCCATCTATGGATTTTTCCAACAGGTGCTTGACCATAATGTATACTTGACCAGGAATAACAGTGAGATGTGCTGCTAAGCCATGAAACGTCCTTGCGCATAAAAAGTGCTTGACCAAGACTTGTGATCGACCTTAAAAATTGTTCCGTTATGGAGCGTGTTTAACCGCGTTGCGTCGACATCAGACGCATAAATTCGAACACACAAGCAGGCCACACCTGTTTTAGCGGCTCTCAGCTTGGCGCCATTGTTCGCCGCCGCTGCTCTCGGAACTGCCGAAAAGAAAAGGACACCTGCAGCCGAGCAAACGAGGAGACAGAGGCCATTGGGACGATCTAATATCAGGCGACGACGCATGTGGTGGATCTGTTTTTTGAGATTAAAAAAAGCAAAACAGATGCAGCCAACCAAACGAGGAGACAGAGGCCATTAGGACGATCTCATATCAGGCGACGACGCATGTGATGGTCATCTCATCAAGAATGAGGTATAAGAAACTAATTTATGAAGGCAAGCGCGAAGCGGTTCCTTTAGGGGAGTAACAAACGCACATGCGAAAAAGGTGGGGTAAAGGATGTATGAACATTGAAGTTGCGCTTGATTGAAGAGGCAGGGGGAGAAGCCGCTCGGGAAAAAGTGACCAGTTCATGAGAAGCCGTACCAGCAAAGACGAGGATGCATGCGAGAAGACGGGGTAGAGCCATTACGGGCGTAATGTAGTACCGATTTTCCAGATATCTCTGTTGAGAATTCTCAAAAGTGATTTTCCAGATACCTCTGGAAAATCTGGAGAAATCTGTCACTGATATTACAGGGTTTCGCGGTGACGTGGTTTGTAACAGGTGACCTTTGGATTGCAAGGAGACAACTAGAGAAACCACGGGCTGGGTCTCGGCACAAGATGTGGGGTGGTAGTACCAGCGGCGAGGAGCGGCTAATAAATACTTCGACGATGCAAAGGCGTGACTCGGGGGAATGGAAAAGGACGCCCCGCGCTGAGCCGCTGAACCACACCTCACTCGAGTGAGGTGAGAATGGAGTCTGGCTGTCATCACCTCCCTCGGTTGGTCAAGCACTCGCCCAGAGGCCCGGTAATAATGCGAGCATCCGAGCTCTATTGTTAACCAGTAGAAATCAGATCTTCGCGTTTCGATGGCCCGGTAAGGTCGATGGTCTCTATTCGAGAATCGTTGATGGTAAGAATCAGTAATCGGATTAGGTTCGGCAAGAGTGATGAGCGAGGGGGGGATGCAGAGAGAGAGTCTGAATGAAACAAATCTGCCATCGGGTTCGGCAAGTGTGAGGAGAGGAGGAAGAAGGGAAGAGAGTGAGATATGTACGCGCACCTCCCTCGGCTGGTCAAGCACTCGCCCAGGAGCTTGGCGATAATGCGAGCATGCGGACCAGACTCTGCTCGAGATGCTCGCGTTTCATTGCAATCCAATAGAAAATAGCTGTTCGCGTTTCAGCCAGGTCGATGGTTCGCTACTCGAGAATAATAGTGAGAACCATTTCTGATAAGAAGAGGCTTGGCAAGGGTACTCTGCCGTCGGGTTCGGCAAGAGTGAGGGATGGAGGAAGAAGGGAAGTGGAGTGGGTGAGATGTACGCGTTACATGCAATTGAGCTCACCTACTGTGGTTGCAATAATTCCGTTCATCCGCCCAGCCTCGACACATGGCAGTCAAGCTCCAGAATGTGTTTGTGTCCGAGCCTCCATATCTCAAGTTCCGAGCTGAGTTCAGCTTCGGAGTCTCTTTGTTCTGGTTTGGGTTTTGACATGTAAGGAGGAAGCCCTTCCATCTCTCAGAACCGCTGCGCACCCTTACAAGGGTGCAAATTTCAAACTCACCAGCCAACCCATTCAGAACACCGCGCTTCGGTTTCAAATAATGCAACGCCCACCAATCCCATCCCATCCACCTCCTGAACTCTGCATACCCCCCCATCGCCTTGGTTTATCCCTTCGGAACCGTACATAAGCTTTTGGAAACCTACCGAAACGTTCTCCACCCAAATTTTCCTTCTCAGCCCTATCCCAAACCGTCCAACCAACATTAAAGCCAGGGTCTTAAGTAAGCTAAGGAGCCGTCAACTGCAAAGCAGTTGAGGCTAAGTTACCTAGTTATTGCAGACGAATTTCTCTCTGGTTGGGTTGAAAAATCAGCTTGCGACATACCCCGTCATTGCCCCAGAAGCGATTGCACAACACTTGGGATGAAGAGAAACGTGAGAGCAGTTAGTGTTGGAGAATCGAGTTTCTGCCGCCCCAGCCCTTTGCACACAAGCAGCAGCAAGGGGGAATGTCGGCGATGAATCAGAGCTTCGGGAAGTACTTCGAAAGTTCCACCACCAATCAGATTTCAGTTGGGTACTTGACTTTCGATGAGTTGGGGGCATTTTAGGTTTGGTTCCGAGCCAACTTTCTTAGCCTAGAAGGTTTGGGTACAACCAGCGATTTGAGTTTGCTTCGCACCCCTCGCTTCAACCCACTTCAAACCTTCAACTTCGCTAACCAATCACAGCCAAACTTTCACCATCAACTGCACAACACTTGTAGTAACTTTAAGGTACAAAACCAGCTCACCCATTCGTGATATCCATTGCTACCATTTCCATTTGCTCGTCGTCAGCTCGCTCTCAGCCCAACATTGCCTTTCCTTTCGGTCGTTGCCATTAGCTCTCAGAACAAATCAGCCAGCTTCCAGCGAATCGAACCACTCCTTCTCATCATGATGACGCGCTTCGGTCTCGTCCATGGGCTAGGATCCGGCCTCGCATGCCTTGCTGGTAAGAATGCTTGAGCGCAACTCACTGCTATCGTTTACACATGGCAATGCATCAATGCTTACATAAACCACGCACCTGGTTAAATTGTCCTAGTTATTGGCCGGAAATACCGCCTGTTGTTATTCGATGCGCCGCGGCCTCCGTAACTACGTAACTCCTAAACGATTGGAGAATTGAACTCTCCCCGCCCCTCGGTTTCCTCCCCTTGTGTGCCGTGTTTGCGCAGGCCTTCTGATCCTACTGTTGGCAGAATCTCCCGTCCCCACGACTGGTAAGCATTTTTTCACGACAAGTTTTGAGGCGCCTCAAAAACTCGTGTTTGCGCACTGCACGCCTCTGGTCTACTGTTGGCCGCCGTCCCGACTGGTAGCACTGGTTTCGCAAACAAAAACGGAGTGAGACGCAGTTTTCAAATATCACTTGACTGCTATGATGTCCCTGGTCGTTGCCTCAGAAGCATCATGTAGCGATTCCAAATCTCGCACTTCTCACCGCGAATCGCTTCTCTGCCTGATCGCTTCCTAAACGAGTCGCTTCCTCCGCCTGATGGCGATCATTTCGGTCAAGGCCGATACTTATGGCAGAGTTACTTTTGAGGATTAAAAAGCCGTGACTCCAACATAGCTTGTCAGTACTACCGCCGCCGCGCGATTGCGATTCTCAGTTCCCTCCGCCGCTCGTTGTCAGGGCTGATACTCACGCCGATCGAGCTCCTCCCTTTCCAAATCAAGACCCTCCTGAGCCATTCTTTGAGTCGACCCAAAAGTCTCTTCTCGCTTCTACCTGCCTCTCTTCTCCCCGATTGCTATCTTTTTTTGTCAGGGCTGACACTCACGTCGAACGATCTCCTTCCTTTCCAAATCAAGACCCCCCCGAGCTCAAGTAAGACAGGAAAACAAAGTTTCTCTTTACTCGTTCTCTCCTGCGCTCTATTTCTATTCAACGACCTACCGCTCTGAACCCCACTCTACTCTTTGCAGTGAACTACACCGGAAGAGTGACATCCAGCGAAGCAGAAGGAGTGTTCATTATCCAGATCCCTGCCGAGTACGCCCTTTCTCCCTCTCCTTCCGCCCATACCATGCCGTGCTGCCTTGTCATGCTACCATGCTGCCATGCCATGCCATGCCATGCCATGCCATGCCATGCCATTACGTACCATGCTCCCATCATATTGTCATGCTGCCATGCCAGACCGTGCCGCCATGCTGGCATGCACCAAAAACAATCCTCGTTCTCTGTTGCTTCCCACCCACAACCCATTCCACCATTTCTCACTCCCTTGCTCACAACCCGCTACAATCCCTTGCTTCTGCTCCTGCCAATCCCTTGTTTCACTCCCATATCAACCTCCCCCCAGAACCACACCAACTCTCCCACGATCCCTTCCCACCATCCCAACACCATCTGCCTATGGGGTGTTTTCCGACCAATCCTGAGAGAACCGTCAACCAGGCACCGCTTCCCCCCCCCTCTTCCCCCTCTTCCCCCCCCTCCCCCCCCCCCCCCCCCCACCCCCCCCCCTCTATCTATCCCCCCTAACTTCTTCCATCTACCAAACCCACCCCCCTCCCCCTCTCCTTCAGCCCTTCCCACCACCGCAGCACCAATCTCCTAGCAACGCCAACCCACCGCCGCTGCCTCCCCTCCCTGTATATCTCACCCGCTCCCTCAACACCCCTTCCCAACCCACCACCGCAGCACCAAATCCTTTCCAGCCGTTTTCCGGCTAGTCATGGCGGGACTAGTCAACCCGCCTACAGAAGTGACTCTTCAGACCAGCTCTGCTAACGAAAGTATTGCGAACAGTTACAGCCAGTGGCGAGTGGTTTCTCCTGGTGTGTGGGATCTTATTTCACCAATCAGCTGGGCCCTCAGGGGGTCTTACGTGGTTGCGGGAGGGAAGGTTTTTGTGAAGTATGTTGGGCGGACGGGAGCAACGGCCGCTGCGGTCGGCACTCTTGCAGCAGATGCTGCTTCAAATATAGGTACGCTGAGGCGAAAGTACACCTTTTCAGGATTTGTTTTTCTCTCTTTTTTTTTCGTATTAATCTCTCCCATATTAATCTCTCTCTCTCTCCCATATAAATCTCTCCCATATAAATCTCTCCCATATAAATCTCTCCCATATAAATCTCTCCCATATAAATCTCTCCCATATAAATCTCTCCCATATAAATCTCTCCCATATAAATCTCTCCCATATAAATCTCTCCCATATAAATCTCTCCCATATAAATCTCTCCCATATAAATCTCTCCCATATAAATCTCTCCCATATAAATCTCTCCCATATAAATCTCTCCCATATAAATCTCTCCCATATAAATCTCTCCCATATAAATCTCTCCCATATAAATCTCTCCCATATAAATCTCTCCCATATAAATCTCTCCCATATAAATCTCTCCCATATAAATCTCTCCCATATAAATCTCTCCCATATAAATCTCTCCCATATAAATCTCTCCCATATAAATCTCTCCCATATAAATCTCTCCCATATAAATCTCTCCCATATAAATCTCTCCCATATAAATCTCTCCCATATAAATCTCTCCCATATAAATCTCTCCCATATAAATCTCTCCCATATAAATCTCTCCCATATAAATCTCTCCCATATAAATCTCTCCCATATAAATCTCTCCCATATAAATCTCTCCCATATAAATCTCTCCCATATAAATCTCTCCCATATAAATCTCTCCCATATAAATCTCTCCCATATAAATCTCTCCCATATAAATCTCTCCCATATAAATCTCTCCCATATAAATCTCTCCCATATAAATCTCTCCCATATAAATCTCTCCCATATAATCTCTCCCATATCTCTCCCATATAGATCTCTCCCATATAAATCTCTCCCATATAAATCTCTCCCATATAAATCTCTCCCATATAAATCTCTCCCATATAAATCTCTCCCATATAAATCTCTCCCATATAAATCTCTCCCATATAAATCTCTCCCATATAAATCTCTCCCATATAAATCTCTCCCATATAAATCTCTCCCATATAAATCTCTCCCATATAAATCTCTCCCATATAAATCTCTCCCATATAAATCTCTCCCATATAAATCTCTCCCATATAAATCTCTCCCATATAAATCTCTCCCATATAAATCTCTCCCATATAAATCTCTCCCATATAAATCTCTCCCATATAAATCTCTCCCATATAAATCTCTCCCATATAAATCTCTCCCATATAAATCTCTCCCATATAAATCTCTCCCATATAAATCTCTCCCATATAAATCTCTCCCATATAAATCTCTCCCATATAAATCTCTCCCATATAAATCTCTCCCATATAAATCTCTCCCATATAAATCTCTCCCATATAAATCTCTCCCATATAAATCTCTCCCATATAAATCTCTCCCATATAAATCTCTCCCATATAAATCTCTCCCATATAAATCTCTCCCATATAAATCTCTCCCATATAAATCTCTCCCATATAAATCTCTCCCATATAAATCTCTCCCATATAAATCTCTCCCATATAAATCTCTCCCATATAAATCTCTCCCATATAAATCTCTCCCATATAAATCTCTCCCATATAAATCTCTCCCATATAGATCTCTCCCATATAGATCTCTCCCATATAGATCTCTCCCATATAGATCTCTCCCATATAGATCTCTCCCATATAAATCTCTCCCATATAAATCTCTCCCATATAAATCTCTCCCATATAAATCTCTCCCATATAAATCTCTCCCATATAAATCTCTCCCATATAAATCTCTCCCATATAAATCTCTCCCATATAAATCTCTCCCATATAAATCTCTCCCATATAAATCTCTCCCATATAAATCTCTCCCATATAAATCTCTCCCATATAAATCTCTCCCATATAAATCTCTCCCATATAAATCTCTCCCATATAAATCTCTCCCATATAAATCTCTCCCATATAAATCTCTCCCATATAAATCTCTCCCATATAAATCTCTCCCATATAAATCTCTCCCATATAAATCTCTCCCATATAAATCTCTCCCATATAAATCTCTCCCATATAAATCTCTCCCATATAAATCTCTCCCATATAAATCTCTCCCATATTCATCCCTCCCATGTTGTCTCTCCGTGTACCAGGTCCTACTCAGCTCATCTCCGCCATGATCATGCCTTTCCGGCCTGTCCGTTTCGAAGCCATGTTCTCTGGGGCTGTGACTGGGGGAGCGATTTTCCAGATTGCTTATTATAGGTGAGCCTACCCGTTTGCAGGGCGCTATTCTAACATCAGTAGGCTAATGGTTTACGGAAGAAAGGCTATTTTCTACTCAAGATTCATGCTAAGCCCACTTGCCTCTATTGCTGACACTCCTGGCAGCAGTTTCCCCGATTGCCCTTGCATTGCCCGTGGGCGGCTCGCGGATGGCACGCTGGCAGCAGTTGGGTGACACGCGGGCGGCACATGGGCGGCACATGTTGAGGCGCTTTTACAGAGTGTTGATCCACGTGTAAAGGCTTCTCAGAAGGCGGGACCTTGCAGACTCTCTCTCTCTTCAAGTCGACTCAGAAATACTCTCTCATTGACCCACCATCTTCAAGTCGACTCAGAAATACTCTCTCTCGTTGACCCATCTTCAAGTCGACTCAGAAATACTCTCTCTCGTTGACCCATCTTCAAGTCGACTCAGAAATACTCTCTCTCGTTGACCCATCTTCGAGTCGACTAAAAATACTCTCTCTCAGAGACCCACCTTCACCCCACACTTGCTGCCAACTCAGCAACCCTTCAATCTCTTCTCTGAAGCGGCCCTCCTCCCGCCTCCCCCCCCTCTCCTTCTCCCCGTGCGTTCACACTGCTTGCAGTTGCAGCACCCTGATCAGCTTGTAGTTTCACCTCCTCTTTCAAAGGCATCCCATCAACACAAATTTCAGCCTTCCCCTTCATGTCTTCCGTCCCCTCCCCACCCTTTGTGCAACCCTCCCTCAACCTCCCCTGCCCCCCATCCCTCCCCCCCACTCCTTATCAGCCGCCTCCCTCTCTCTGCCGTCCCCCACCCCTCTGCCGTTTCCCCCTATTCCCCCCCCCCCCATCTCCCAGGCCCCCCTTATCTGCCGTCCCCCACCCCTCTGCCATTCCCCCCTATTCCCCAACCCCCATCTCCCGGGCCCCCCTTATCTGCTGTCCCCCACCCCTCTGCCATTCCCCCCTATCTCCCGCACCCCCCTATTTCCCGCCCCCCCCATCCCCCGGGCCCCCCTTATCTGCTGTTCCCCCCCTCTGGTAGCACCCCTAGCAGCACCACCAAGAAAATAAGGCTGCTCTTATCACGTGGCTTTTCCACCTCCTCTTCACCAGTGTCGCCCACCCAACACAACTTTCAGCCTTCATCATTTCCCCTTCCCCTCTCCCCCTACCCCCACCCTTTTCTGCCTGCCGCGCCCCCTGCCTCCCCCTGCCTGCCTCCGCACCTGGCAGCAACACTGCCACCAAGATAGTAAGGCTGCTCTTTCACCTCGTCTTCACCAAGTTTGGCCCGGCCGACACAAAGTTCAGCCTTTCCCTTTTCTGTACTACCCCCTCCCTCCTGGCAGCACCGCTAGCAGCACCACCAAGATAGTAAGGCTGCTCTTTCACCTCGTCTTCACCAAGTTTGGCCCGGCCGACACACCTGTAGTCCTGACCGCTTATCTCCCCAACATTTCCTCTGAAAATCTGACCTTCAAGTGCCCGCTCACCTCTCCGATCAAGGGCGTGTTCACGTGTAAAACGACGGTGGAATATGATAGCACAGCCGTCCCGGCTGCAGTCGGGAAGCTGAGGTTGTTTGATGCTTTGGGGACAGTGGCCAGCACGAGTGTGAATCTCACCCCAAGGTTCAATCTCACCATAAATGGCCAGAATGAGCCCGCCTATTATGGGCCGCCGTAAGGTAAGGTGGGCATTGGGGGATAACTTTTCAAGTGCTACATCTCTCTGTGTGTTAGTGTGTTGTGTGTTGAGGGGGGGAGGACGGGGGAAGGGAAGGGTGCGGGTGTGTTCTCTTTGTGCTAGTAAGGGCGCGGGATCCGTGGGTGCAGTGGGAGAGACGCACTTCTACTCATGAGCAGGATGTTGTAGGACAGTACCCATGATATGGGCTAGCTTGGTTGTGCTGTAATGTAAATGTACAGTATTCATGAATAAAACATTCGGGATAATTGGGATATAAACACACCTTGACCCTCCATTGGTGCAGTGGAAGAGAAGCACTCCTGGAGCAAGGACAGGAATTTTGGTACTTCTGGGATGCACAAAGATCTCTAGAACTGCATATACTCCTGAGAAGAACTTCTCCCTACAACAGGGCCCTCGTTAGCAGACTAATTTAGTCTGTTGGTCTAGATTTCAGGCACGAAATGTGTAGTTCATATGAGGCGGCAGACTTTAGCTTACCGTATGGGCCATATGTGAGCCAAGACCAAGGCTCTAGCATCATACGGTATGTTTTTTCAGGAAACTTATATAGATTCGTCTGATCAAGCAGAAATCGCATATTGATTCGTCTGATAGAGACAAAATAGCCCAGTTGGCCAGAGGAGCAGCGATGTGTTGCATGTGAAGGCACGCGTAATGATTTCTGCGTGAGGGAACGGGGGTGAATTTCGGATTGTTCCTGCCAGCGCATACTGCATCTGACTCAGTTGCTGCCACGCATCTGTTGGGTAGCTGTTGTCGGCGCCGCTGCCAGGCTGTTGCCCCCCACCTCGCTGGCAGAGTGCAAGGACAGTCGGTGCACACCAAAACAAAGCATGCACCCACCTTCGTGAAACCCTCGTGAGAGAGGCGCGGCGCGGTTCGTGAGGTGATGGTCCCTTCCCTTCCTTTCTTCTCCAAGCCTTTCTTTGACAACCTGCCTTTGCCTTTCAATCTTTGACGCCTAGCCCAAAGCATACCTATCGTCCCGTAGCTTGTTCCCGCGTACCGTCTAGAATTCCTGTGTTGCTACTGCCTCATGTGATGTGATACACCACCTCACACCATGCTATCTGGCGCCCTCGAGTCAACCGACGGCGCTAGGCGTGATCCACCCGGGGAACCTGACGAGCCACGGGTTTCTGCGTTAGATTTCCTAACCCGTAAAACTCCGGCAGCAATTCCTGTGACCACCACTGCCGCAGTCGAGACGCCTCCGCCTGTAATTCCTTCCCCCAACGTCATCACATCATGCAACGACGAGCCGCTTATCCCCTCGCAATCCACGTCAGACGCTACTGAGACTACGACCCAGCCTAACCCGGCTGAAGCTGAGTCTTCGCCGCAACCCGTTTCGGCATCTGTGGCCACAACTCTACCGGCGATTTCTGTTTCTCGCATTAGAGCAGGGAACGGCAAATACAAACAGCGAATTCTGAGCTTTGCCCGTCCCACTGCAGGTGTCCCACCAGCAACCGTCCCCCGCTTTAGCACACCTCGCCCGGGCCCGTCACAGCCCGTTGCCGCCAACGACGACGACAAGTATCCGCTCGTCTTGACCGTCGAGCAGTGGCAGCAGAAGGCTAACGAGAAATGGCTCCAGCACTTCCCGTGGCTCATCATCTCGGAGACTTCATGGGGTCAACCCTGCATGAGGTGTTCAATCTGCATGGTGCACGGAGACCCCAGCTACCAGTATGGCCGCGATGGAGAGGGTGGGCTTGACATTCAACGACAGACGATGCGAAAACATCAGCATTCCATCAAGCATGAGGTGTCAGTGGACCGCCAACAGCTGCGTGACTGCAAGAATGCTGCTCAGAAGTCGATTGTCGACTTTGAAAACGGTGACGGGGAAGCCAAGCGTTTGACAAAACTCCTGGCAACAGTTATTTTTATTTGCAGAAGCGACTCACCCATTGTGCTGTTTGTGACCCTGGTCCAGTTCATGGCAGAGATGGGCACGCCCGACATGCCCCTGAAGGATCCCGGCACCTACTACAGCGAGTAAGTGTTATGCTTTTTTTGCGCGTCCTTTAGTTGGAAACCACGGTACTAATTACCTTCTCTCTAGTCGTTACAGGTACGGGTTTGCGCAGTTGGTTGAGACGCTCGTCATCTACCTCCGTGCTCAACAGATGAAGCACATCCGGGAGAGTCCTTACCTGGGCATTCAATTGGACGAGAGCACGGTCCGTCGGCGCGGGAAGCACCTGATAGTCTACTTGTCGTTCCTCCGCAGCAACACTCCCGTCACCGAATTTTTCGCACACCTAACAGTTGAGCAGTGCGATGCTCGTTCCCTGCAGGCAGTCCTTCTAACCCACCTGGAGTCTACCGGCCTCGAACTTGAGCGCATCAGTGGCATCAGCACTGACGGTGCAAGCATCATGGTCGGTTCTCAGACGGGCCTGGTGGCACGCCTTCGTGCACGGATTCCACACCTCGCTGGGTTCCACTGCATCGCGCTCAGGTTTGTAACCCTGTGATATTATGCTCACCTTTTAAGCGTTGCATATGTATCTAACTTGTTGCTTTTTCCGTGTTATGTCAGGGAAGCTTTGGCCGCTAAGGATGCAGCAGAGGCCTACCCCGACCTTGACATCGTCGACCATGTCGTCCGTTCCTTAGCGGAGCTCCTTGGACGGTCGGGCAACTTCCACTTACGCTTCAAAGAGCTGCAGGAGGTGCTGTGTGAAACGAACCTGGAGTTGCAGGGCATCCACAGCGTCAAGTGGCTTTCACGTGGTCTGGCGGTTCAGCGACTGGCTGACAACCTTCCAGCTGCTGTCATTCTGTTGTACGAGAACGACTTGAAGGCGTACCTCCTTGTAACCAGTTTGAAATTCCATTTCATGCTGTTTTTTTTTGCTGATGTGTTGAAGGAACTCAACGCATTGAACCTCAAGTTCCAGCGACGGCAGGTACGCTGTTACGCCTCTTGCTGTTAACTGTTTTTAGTGTTAATTGTCGCGATATATATTTATATATGTTTATAACTGCCTGTAGCTTTAGCTTTAGTGTAGTTATGTTTCTTGGTTGTGGTGGTGCACCTCTTTGTTTCTTTGCTATATGTTCTTGCAAACCTATAGTGAAGACACACATTCTCGATTCTCTCTTGGCACAACTCCCTCGACACCCGCTTGGCCTAGGCTACTAAGCCTAGGCCCTTAGTTAAACCCGTACTCTAGTTAAGATCGTATCGTAACATGGTAACAGAGTGGTCCGTCCTAGGACCTATTTCGTTTATGGGCCCACCACATTTCGCGACTGCTACAGTTAGTGGCGCGAAATCCGCACCTTGCGTATCTTTTTTTTTTCCCTGCTGCTCGCGCTGCCCCCCGTCGCCTGCCTCGTCGCGGCTCTCAGCGCGACGGGCGCGGCGGACGCTATGGCGAACGCCAGCGGACCCGCCGCCAGCGACCCGCCAGCGAAGTCGCCAGCGGCCCGCGATCGCGTTTGCGCCATCGACTGCAGCCAGCGCCACCTTGCACCTCGCCCGTCGCACCGGCGGTCGCTGTGGGGGGGAGAGGGAAGAAGGGATGGGAGTGGCGGCGGAACTCTGTGGGGGCGAGAGGGAAGAGGGGATAGGAGTGACGGGGGAACGCCAGCGACGATCGCCAGAGCACTGGCGATCGCCCCAGCCGCTCATTCGCCCGCTCTGCCCGTCGCATTCCCCCCGCCCCCTGCCCGTCACCCCCCCCCCCCCCCCCCCCCGTCGCGACTGTTTGCGTGTGCAGCGGCGGTCGCCATGGGGAGGAGAGGGAGGAGGGGAAGGGAGTGGCGGTGGGACGCTGTGGAAAGGAGAGAGAGGAGGGGAAGGGAGTGGTGGCGGAACAGCACCAGCGCCAGCCGCCAGCACCAGGAACCAGCACCAGCGCCAGCCGCCAGCACCAGGAACCAGCCCCAGCACCAGCCGCCAGCACCAGGAACCAGCCCCAGCGCCAGCCGCCAGCACCAGGAACCAGCCCCAGCGCCAGCCGCCAGCACCAGGAACCAGCCCCAGCGCCAGCCGCCAGCACCAGGAACCAGCCCCAGCGCCAGTCGCCAGCACCAGGAACCAGCCCCAGCGCCGGCCGCCAGCACCAGGAACCAGCCCCAGTGCCAGCCGCCAGCACCAGGAACCAGCACCAGCGCCAGCCGCCAGCACCAGGAACCAGCCCCAGCGCCAGCCGCCAGCATCAGGAACCAGCCCCAGTGCCAGCTGCCAGCACCAGGAACCAGCACCAGCGCCAGCCGCCAGCACCAGCACCAGCAACCCCACCTGTGACCAGCAGCCCCACCTGTGACCAGCAGCCCCACCTGTGACCAGCAGCCCCACCTATGACCAGCAGCCCCACCTGTGACCAGCAGCCCCACCTGTGACCAGCAGCCCCACCTGTGACCAGCAGCCCTACCTGTGACCAGCAGCCCCACCTGTGACCAGCAGCCCCACCTGTGACCAGCAGCCCCACCTGTGACCAGCAGCCCCACCTGTGACCAGCAGCCCCACCTGTGACCAGCAGCCCCACCTGTGCCCAGCAGCCCACCTGTGAAAGACTGTACAGGGACCATCGTGGGTTGGGAGAGGTATGGAGGAAGACAGGGGTGGAGGGAGTGCGGTTCCAGGGGGCGACTGAAATGGGGGGTGAGGTTGAGGGCGGGTGGTTGGTTGGGGGTGGGGATGTGGGGGTTAGTAAGAGGGGACGCTGCGGCCACCCCCCCACCTCTTCTCCTCATCCCCCACTCAACCCCCCCTTCTTCTCCTCATCCCCCACTCAACCCCCCCTTTCGTAAAAGGGGGTTAGTAAGAGGGGACGCTGCGGCCACCCCCCACCTCCTCTCCTCATCCCCCACTCACCTCCTCCTGTGTTCTTATCTATTCTCCTCTCCTCTCTTCCTCTTGCCTCCTCCTCCTCACGTACCCCTCTGCCGTCTCCCACCGCACCTGCCCCTTCAGGGGGTGTGACTTGCTCTAGCTATGTGCTGCAGGCAGTTAAGGGGGTGTGTCGCGATATATATTTATATATGTTTATAACTGCCTGTAGCTTTAGCTTTAGTGTAGTTATGTTTCTTGGTTGTGGTGGTGCACCTCTTTGTTTCTTTGCTATATGTTCTTGCAAACCTATAGTGAAGACACACATTCTCGATTCTCTCTTGGCACAACTCCCTCGACACCCGCTTGGCCTAGGCTACTAAGCCTAGGCCCTTAGTTAAACCCGTTCCTAGCTAAGTTCGTCTCGTGACATGGTATTGAGCTAGCAAGTTCCTAGCCTGTACAATTTTATGGGCCCACCAACCCGTAATTCGTCACCCGTCGCACGTCGCCCGTACGCCCCGTTGCTTGCCATCGCTCGGACCCCCGCAGTTCCCTCGTTTCGCGCCCCGAAGGCCCCCTATTTCGCGCCCCGGATGCCCCCCCGATTCGCGCCCCGGATGCCCTCCGATTCGCGCCCCAAAGGTCCCTGTTTCGCGCCCCGAATGCCCCCGAATTCGCGCCCCGAATACCCCCCGTTTCGCGTCCCACAAGGTCTTCGCGGCCCCTCGATCCCGTCGCCCCGCTTCCCGTCGCCCCGCTTCCCGTCGCCCCGGCTCCCTGTAGCCCGCTGCCGCTCCTTAGCCCGTCACATTACCCGCGCCCCATGCCCGTCCCCCCCCCCCCCGTCGCGGCTGTTCGCGTGTGCAGCGGCGGTCGCTGTGTGGGGAAGAGGGAAACGGGGAAGGGAGTGGCGGCGGATCGCTGTGGGGGGGAAGAGGGCAAAGGGGAAGGGAGTGGCGGCGGAACGCCAGCGACGACCGCCAGCGCACCGGCGATCCCACGTCACCTGCTGTTGCAACCCGTCGCCCGCGCGCTGCCCGTTCCTGCAGCCTACCACTCGCGCCGCCGCCCGCCCGAAAACTTCCTCCTCCCCCCACCACCCCCCCCCCCCCCCCCTCGTCGCCCCCACCCACGCTCCCGCCAGCTCCAGCCGCGCTTGCGACTGCTACCGTGCTAGCTCGAGGTGGTGGGGGTGGCGGCCAGTGGGGAAGGAGCGGGTGTGGAGGCGGAGGTGGTGGGCTGTTGGGGGGAGGGTAAGGGGGTGCCAAGAAGGATTCTGCGGCCTCAACCGCCTCCTCCTCCTCTCCCTCTCAGTCTCGCATCTGCTATTGTGGGGGGAGGATGAAGGTGTGTGGGAGTGGAACTGCACCCCCATCCGCTGCCACCACACCTCCTCCTCGTTCTCTCTGCCGTTACTACTGCTGTGGGAGAGAGGTTCAGGGGGTGTGGGTGGTGAGAGTTCAACTGCAGCATCATCCGCCTCCTCCTCCTCTCATCCCTTGCTGCCCGTGCCTTGCTGTCCACCCGTGATTCTGCCCGTGATTCTGCCCGTACTGCTGCCCGTGATTGTGCCTGTGATCATACCCGTGTGCTGCCCGTATTTTGCCCGTGTTCTGCCCGTGATCCTGACCGTGATTCTGCCCGTGATTCTGCCCGTGTTGTCGCCCGTGATTTTGCCCGTGATTCTGCATGTGATCCTGCCCGTGTTGCTGCCCGTTCCCGTGCCATACTGCCCGTGCCCACCCGTGTCTCCCGTTGCTGCCCGTGTTCTACCCGCGCCCAGTGTCCCCCGTTCTGCCCGTGCTGCCTGTTCTGCCCGTGCTGCCCCGTTGTGCCCGTGTTGCCCCATTCAGCCCTTGTCCTGCCCCATTCTTCCTGTGCAGCCCCGTTGTCCCCGTGTTGCCCCGTTCTGCCCGTGTTGCCCCGTTCAGCCCGTGTTCTGCCCCGTTCGGCCCGTGTTCTGCCCTGTTCTGCCCGTGTTGCCCCGTTCAGCCCGTGTCCTGCCCCGTTCAGCCCGTGTTCTGCCCTGTTCTGCCCGTGTTGCCCCGTTCAGCCCGTGTCCTGCCCCGTTCTGCCCGTGTTGCCCCGTTCAGCCCGTGTTGCCCCGTTCTGCCCGTGTTGCCTTGTTCAGCCCGTGTCCTGCCCCGTTCAGCCCGTGTTCTGCCCTGTTCTGCCCGTGTTGTCCCGTTCAGCCCATGTCCTGCCCCGTTCAGCCCGTGTTCTGCCCTGTTCTGCCCATGTTGCCCCATTCAGCCCGTGTCCTGCCCCGTTCTGCCCGAGTTGCCCCGTTCAGCCCGTGTCCTGCCCCGTTCTGCCCGTGTTGCCCTGTTCTGCCCGTGCTGCCCCGTTCTGCCCGTTTGTGCCCTACCCGTGCTGTCTGTACCCGTTCGTGCCCCACCCGGTCTGTGCTGCCCGGTCTCGTGCTGCTCGTCATCCCCGTGCGGCCCGTCCCGTACAGCACCTAGTTGCTACCCGAACCCGCTACCCGTACCCGTGCTCCTCGCACACCGTGCACCAGCTGCGGGGCATTCAACCGCAGCCGGGCACCTGTTCCACCGCGGTGGTTCAGATGCTGCTTGGTGGTTGCTGCTTGTCAGCTTCAGAAGGGGCCCCTTGCTGGTGTTCCCACGCCCTGTAATGGGGTTTTACAGGTGTACCCCTTCAAGGGGGGCTCTGCACATGGTTATGCACTTCAGGCAGATAGGGGGTGTGTCACAATAGATTTATATCTATTTAGTATAATCTGCCTGTAGTGTAGCTGTTGTGTAATTCCCTTGTATGGTGGTGCACCTCTTTCACCTTTGTTAGGTTGCTATATGTACTCGTGTGCTATAGTGAACCTCCAACCATTCTTCAATTCTCCTTGGCACAAACTACTCGACACCCGCTTGGCCTAGGCTACTAAGCCTAGGCCCTTAGTTAAACCCGTTCCTAGCTAAGTTCGTCTCGTGACATTAATGAATCCTATTAATGAGATATTTACCCGTGCGTGCCTTTCCACTGCCTCTCATGTGTGTGTGGCAGGTCGACGTGACACACGTGCTGCAGATGGTGGACAACACTAGGCTCACCCTTCGCAACCGTTACCTGAGTGACGCGGACGACTTCGGCGATGGGAGCAACGAGCTGAGCGCCTTCTTGTCGAAGCACGCCTCGTCGGAAAAAAGGGAAGTGAAGGTGACGGGCACCGACTCGACTGGCGCCCGGACTACTCATGAGTACACCCTCCATGAACAGAACATCAAGGGTCAGAAATCTGGCCCGGGCCTGGACGACTGCATCACACTGGCGAAGGGGTACGTGAAGGAGCTGCTGAAGTGACTGGAGAGCCGGATGAAGGATCTGGGCTCTCTCGACGGCGCCAAGCTGTTCACGCAGGGGGCGTACCCGAAATCTCACTCGAAGCGGCAGCGTCAGTTTTTGCAGTGGCTGGAGGCTCTCCGCAATCTGTTTAAGCGGAAACCGTCCGACCCTGACACCCTGCCTGGTACGTCTTCGATTTCGGTTGTCATTGATTGAGTTTTCTATGTTTGTGTCACGTTATGCTTTGTTGGTTGTATGAGTTTGTGTACTTTACTAAACAGCTCGTATTCTCATTAAACTGGTTTCTGATTCACACCCGCCACCAGGAATCAACCGGACGAGAGCACAGAAGGAGATCAGCAGTTTCACCACGATCATGTCGACCCATCACCGCGAGCTGAGCTTCCAGGACGGCCTGAAGCAGATGCTCAGCTCGCCCGATTGGTGCACGGCCTTCCCCAACCTGGTCCGCCTTTGGATGGCGGTCGCAGTGCTGCCCCTGAGCACCGTGGAGTGCGAGCGGGGCTTCTCCCGCCAGAACGTCATCAAGAGCTGGCTACGCGGCAATCTCAACGACGCGAAGCTTGACGACCTGATGACCATCTCTATGCTGAAGTACGAACCTGACTGGCCCGCCCTTGTAGAGCTGTGGAGAGGTGCGAAGAAGAGACGCCCAGCCAAGGATGTGGTGATGGTGCATGCGCAAAGGCCTGTGAAGCGCACGAAGAAGACCCTTGCGATGCTGGCCGCGAAGCAGGCGGCAGCAACAGCAGCAGCAGCAGCAGCTGCAGAAGAAGCAACCAGGCTAGAGGAGGAGTTGGGCCCCTGGCAGAGACGGGCAGACCATGGCAAAGAGCACATTGCTTCAGATTCAGACCTAGACGGGGACGACGAGGAATATTCTTCTCATGATAGCGATAGTGAATCCTAGTTCAATATGAATGTATGGTTAACTGTAGTAATAGAGTAGAGTAGAGTGTAGTCTGTGTGTAGACTATATAACTAAATAAATGTCTGATTTCGTGAAAATCTGTCTGAGCCGACATACTAACTTATAAAATCCGTCTGAGGCAAAGACCACCAGGAATCCTCCATATGAGGGCCAGACGATTTTTTTTTTTTTCTTGGAAAACGTCAGACTGGCCTAAAAGTTAGCAAGAGCCCTGCCCTACAACTGCCATTCACCTTTTTTGGAATGGGACCTGAAGCATTTACATGTTGTCCATATTTATTGTTTGAAACATGTGTTCGTCACCCTGTCGCTGACATTATCGAGTAGGCATCAGACGCAGCGTCGCGTCCTCCATGCATGTGATAGCTGCCGAGTGGAAATCAACAACGTAACTAATCATGGCGAGTTGTCGCTCGTTTGCCCAAGCCGCCGTTTTCGTAGGGCGTCTCTCGCGCTGCGGCCATGCTAGCATGCAGCGTACATGAAGTGCAAATTCTCGTCGATTCAGGGTACTCTATGAGATTTTCCGCACGAAAATGCTAGTGTGGCGAGCTACTTGTGGTTTTCACAGGTCCGCCAGTCGTGAGGACCTTACTGCATCGTCCCGACGATGCCTGGCAACGGCTCTGTTCGAAATTCCTTGGAACGCTGCCAATTAGAGCACGAATTTCTTCCCCTTGTCTCTATGTATATTCCTCCCAACCATTTTCCCTCTTGGCTCCCGTACGGACCATTTCTTGCAGTGTAGCGTTCCGGCTCGTCGTTTCTGCACGCTGTTGTTGGGCTGAGAAAAGCCCTTAGGAAATTTCAGGACTAAGATCGGGTATTGATGTAGAGATGTAATAGCGGAAGTGGTAAATGAAGAGTTGTCGTGAACCACCTTGTGCTAGTTTGTGAGAACAAGATAAGTGGATAATAGCAGAGAAGTACAAGGCTTTTATATGATTACAAAGGAATATTGAAAGTTCTATTTTAACTGTTTTTGCTGTTGCGGTTCGATACAGTGCCGACTCGGGTAACTGCTTTGTAACGAGTCAGTTATGTGTCCTTGCTGTCGCACTGTACGTTTTGTCAGGTCAAAGGTAGGAGACCTTTGACCTTCGCGCAACCTCTGACGGTTGCTTTGGTTGACTCGAGTGTTTCTTCGCTGTAGTCAGTTCCGTTTTGTGTCGAAGCTTCGATACGACAGAAGCGTTATAAGTCACTTGTTTCCAACACTCCCCTTCGCTTCTGGAGGATCGTTGCTGATGACGTGTCCTTGTCCAGTCAGCAGCATGCAGTACTCGAACTTCTGTTTTCCGAGTTTCTTGGTCAAGTAGTCAGCTGCCATCTTGGATGTGGGACAGTAGGATAGTTCGAGTCTTCCCTTTTCGATCTCGTCTTTCACGAAGAAGTACCGAAGGGCGATGTGCTTCGTTCGATTCGCGAACCCGTTTTTGTTCGCTATGCGAATGGCCGATTGGTTGTCGCAGAAGAGAGAGAAATTGGGTAACTGGGCCAATTTTGCTTCCTCCAATAGTTTGCGAAGATATAGCCCTTCCTTGGTTGCTGAACAGCGTGCGATATATTCTGCTTCTGCTGATGAGAGAGCAATTAGCTCTTGCTTGTTCGGCTGCCATGAGATAGGTCCGATAGGTTCGAGTCTGTAGACGTAGCCGGTTCGAGACCGTCTGTTGTTTGAATCTCCAACGTGATCGACGTCAACGTAGACGATTAGCTTAGGTGTTGCGGTGCTGGTTTTGTGGTAGGTGAGTCCGATCGTCGGAGTACAGACGAGGTAGTGAAGCGCTCGATCGAGTTCGAGCATGTGATCTGCTTCAGGCTTCTTGAGGTAGGTAGCGAGTTGACTAGCTGAGTAGGACAGATCCGGTCGGCAGGTGACGGCTGCGAAGAGTAGGCAGCCTAGCTTCCTTTGGTAGTCGCGGACGCCGGCACGTTTGAGTAGGGCGGAGGCTTTCCGGTTTCCGTCGGTGTAGCGGTATGGCGTGGAGATAGTGGTTGGAGTGAGTCCGAAGCATTTAGCAATAGTTTCCGTGTATTTTGCAGCGCTGAGGTAGATGGCATTGTCGCCGTCTTCGATGTTCGGTCCTAGGTACTGTGTCACGTGGTTGCGACGGTGAGAGTTAGATCTCCCTGCAGCTCCCCTTCAAACCACGTTGTTACCGCGTCGGTGGAGCCTATGTAGAGAAGATCATCGACGTAGACGATAAGTAGGATGTAGTCGGTGTCTTTCGCCAGTCGATACATCCCTTGGTCGTGTGGTAGCTGAACAAATCCGATGCGAATAAGGCGGGCGTGAAGGTGCTGCTGCCATAGTATCGGGGCTTGCTTAATCCCGTACAGTGACTTCTCCAGTTGACAGATTTGGTTGGGGCCTGCGTTGGATCCGTGTGGGAGTTCGATGAAAATCTCAGCGTCGACGGGGGCGTAGAGGAAGGCGTTGGCGACATCAATTTGTCGAAGCTTCTTTCGGTTCATGGCGGCGATTGCGAGGAGAATCCGCAGTGAGGTATGTCGGCTTACTGGGGCGAATGTTTCCGTGAAGTCTCGCCCTTGCTCTTGGTCGAAGCCCCGCACGACCCAGCATGCTTTGAACTTGTCGATTGTTCCGTCGGCTTTCGTTTTCACGCGGAAGACCCATTTTCCCGTGAGGATAGTTTTGTTGCATGCCAATTTGATAGGCACGACTTTCCAGGTGTTGCGTTCCTGCAGCGCCTTCAATTCCTTGTCCATGGCTTCACGCCATTTTTCCCTGTGTTCCCCCCCCAGAGCCTGCTGAATTGTCGCAGGCTCCTTAGGTGGTTCCGCTCCGTGGACGGAGGTGACAATTCCCAGTATCTGCAGACTACTTTGTGTGTAGCGGGGGAGATTTGTGTCTTCTGGATAAGCTGCTTCGTCTCCTGCTTCGGGGTCTGGTAAGAAATTTGGTCCTAGGCGTTCGGAGATGTTGGTGTCGACCGGTTGAGGTGTAACGTAACCGGTGTCGGCGAAGTCGAAATAAGTTTCGGCGTTGACACTTTCGCGAGGATTTTCGTCATCCATCGGGATAGGCACGGAGCAGTATGGGAGTGGTCCTGCTTCTTCGGATGCGTTGTCCACGTTTTGCTCGTCCCAGTCAGCTTCGTCTGCTGCTGAAGCAAAGGCTCGGTTGCCATGGAAGCTGCCCGTGAGGTCTCGATTTGCTGCTAGGTTGTCCAGGTACGTTTGAAGTGTGAGTCGCTCGTAGAAGATGACATCACGTGCTGCCACTGTTTCCTTTGAGTGGACGTCAGAAATCTTCCATGCGTTGTAATGCTTTTTTATGCCCAGGTGTAGTCCCCACTGTGCGCGTTGAGAAAATATTCCGGCTCTTGCAGTGTGTGGGCGATACTGTACCATGCACCCAAAGACCCGTAACATTTTTGTGTTGCCCAACTTTCCTGTCCACAGCAGGTGCGGTGATGCGTTGTTTGGAAGTGACGACGATGAAAGCAAGTTGTGCAGCATGGCAGCGTGGTCCATCGCCTCAGGCCACTGGTGATTGGGCAGTCGCATGCCACGCAGCAATTTGCGCATGGTGTTCTGGAGAGTTCTGTTCATCCGTTCTGCCACGCCTTGCTGTTGATGGGAGTAGGGAAGCGAAATGAGTCGCTTGATGCCTCGTGTTGCGAGGTACTGCCTGAACCTCTGGGACTGATATTCCCCTCCTCCGTCAGACTGGAAGCTTTTCAGCTTTGCGCCCGATTCTCGTTCTGCCGCAGGTAGAAAGGCGACGAAGGCTTCGAAGGCCATGTCGCGACTTGGAAGATTAAGGTGCCAGACGTAACGGGTGGCGGCGTCGATGAAAGTGATTACGTAATTATATGCGCCTTGTCCTTGTTCGCGAGTATACAGAATGTCGCTGTATACTTTCTCGAGTGGTGCATAAGCTGGCGCACTTGGATTGTGGTGAGAGGCGAACGGTTGATGCGGTAAGTCGGCTTCGGGACAGGTAAAGCATGTTCCGCGGACTCGTTGGAGTTCTCTACCATCGGGTAGAAGGAGTGAGTCCTTGTCGAGCACTGCTGCCTTGATTGTGTTGTTTAAC